GCTTTCTTGCTCCATGGGCCAGCCAACCTGCTACTCCATCTTATGCTGGTCTCTTCACCAATTAATGCCCGAAGGCAACCCACTCCGCCAGGAAGCCACCTACCCAACGGCACCTGGCTTTCTTCTCTGTGGGCTGGTAAGCCTGTTGCTGTTTAATGCCGGTCTCTGGGCTCTGCTACTGCCATCTTTCATGCTGGTCTCTCTGCCAGTCTCTTGGCTCTGTTACTGCTGTCTCTCATGCCGTATGCCAGGGTCTGTCTGCCAGGGTTTCAGGTCAAGGATGCACTCCACTCCTGTTTCCACATTTTAGGTATCTGTCAGAGCAGCACCCTACTCTCGGTACCAAATGTGTTAGACTGGGTTCTCTAGAGAAACAAAACCAGTAAAGTTTATATATAGAGAGAAAGGGAAATTTATCTTAAGAAAATGACACACACTTATAGAAGCTGGCAAGTCCCAAGTTCTTGGATCAAACATCAAGCTGGAGGCTTTTCCCGACTCATGCAGCTACAGGGCCTGAGGAGCTCAAGGTTGGCAGGCAGCATACTGGCTATTAACTCCAACAAGTGATGAATCCAAGATCTCCAGGCTGAATGATGGATTGTTTGCTCACGAACAGTTGTAGGCAGAATCCCGATCCACAGAAGAGTGTTTCTTTTCCCAGGATGTCGATAAATATACTGGAAGCAGGCCACACCCCTAGGGAAACTCCCTTTCAGTGGATTGGCTGCTCAGAACATATACATCTGATCCCATCATTGAAACAACCCACACCACAGTTGCTTAAACCACACAGAATTGTGGTCCAACCAAGTTGATACACAGCTCCAACTATCACAGGAATACTAACTACATCCAGCTGCCCAGCCACTCAACCAGGCCTAGCCAGTTGACACACAAACATAACCACCACAGCTACCAAAAAATAAAATACCTGGGAATAAATCTTGCCAGGAACACAAAAGACCTATACAAAGAAAACTATAAAAAAACTACTTCAAGAAACCATAAAAGATCTACATAAATGGAAGAACATACCATGCTTATGCATAGGAAGATTGAACATTGTAAAACTGCCAATTCTACCCAAAGCAATCTATACATTCAATGCAATCCCAATCCAGATCCCATCAACATTTTTTAAGGATAAGGAAAAAACAGTCATTAACATTATATGGAAAGGAAACAGACCCCAGATAAGCAAAGTACTATTGAAGAAGAAGAACAAAGTAGGAGGTCTCACACTGCTGGATCTCAGAACCTACTATATAGCCACAGTAGTCAAAACTGCCTGGTATTGGTACAATGACAGACACATAGACCAATGGAATAGAAATGAGAACCCAGATATAGATCCATTGACTTATGGTCAGCTGATCTTTGACAAAGGGCTGAAATCCATTAAATGGGAAAGAGAATGTTTAATGAATGGTGCTGGCAAAACTGGATATCCATTTGCAGAAAAGTAAAACAAGATCTGTACCTACACCATACACAAAAACTAACTCCAGATGGATCAAAGACTTAAATGTGAAACCTAAAACTATAGAGTTCCTCAAGGAAAAACTAGGGGCAAATTTAGGGGCCCTATATATAGCATAAATAGACTATCAAGCAAAACCCAAAATACACAAACAGCAGAAGAAAAACTAGATGAATGGGATTTTTTATGTGTTTCCACAGACTTTTCCAAAAGACTCAAAAGAGAACCTACAGATTGGGAAAAAATACTTGGCAGTGACATATCTGACAAGGGACTTATCTCTAGAATTTATAGAAAACTGCAGCACCTCAATAACAAAAAGACAAATAATCCAATTAAGAAATGAGGAGAAAACATGAACAGACACTTCACCAAGGAGGATATTCAGGCAGCCAAAAAACATATGAAGAAATGCTCATGATCATTAGCCATTAGAGAGATGCAAATCAAAACAACAATGAGATACCATCTTGTCCCAGCACTACCAGAAAAGTTCAACAAGACAGAAAATAAAAAATGCTGGCAAGGATGTGGAGAGATTGGGACTCTCATACCCTGCTGGTGGCACTGTCGAATGGTATAACCACTGTGGAAAGCAGTATGGTGATTCTTTAAAAAGTTGGAACTAGAAATACCATTTGACCCAGCCATTCCATTACTAGGTATATATCCTAAAGAAGTGAGAGCCATGACAAGAGCAGACATATGCACACCCATGTTCATCGCAGCACTGTTTACAACAGCCAGAAGTTCAAAACAACTTAGGTGTCCATCAACTGAGGAATGGATAACCAAACTATGGTACGTACACACAATGGAATACTATGCAACTCTAAAGAATAACATAGAATCTGCAAAACACTGCATAACATGGATGAACTTGGAGGACATTGTGCTGAGTGAAGTAAATCAAGGACAAATATTGTATTAGTCCATTATTATAAAAGTCAAGGAATGGTTTATTTATGGAAGGAAAATGTCTTTGTTCGTTACCAGTAGTGGGAGGGTAGAATAGAGTAGGGAACACTGTTAGATAAGTAGAGATAAGTATTGATTTGGGTGAAGAGTTATAAACTCTCACCCAAATCAAAAAAAAAAAAGCTCTTATTCTGTGTGTTGTCTTTTCACTTTCTTTATGATGTGCTTTCTCTTATGCATTGCTCCCTGGCTTTCCTTCCTGATTTCCAACATGGCACACTTTATTCAGCATGGTTTACAGGCTCCAAAGTTAGTGGGCTTCTCTTAGCCTCAACATCTGGTAGCATTTTATAATTGACAGTTGCTTCCTTTATCTTCCTTCCTCAGCTTGTCATTTTGAGGCCTTCACTGCCCTTCTTCTTCGTCTCCTTCTTTATTTGCTCTCTCTTGTGTTTTCTGACCATTTTTACTTCTATCTGTTCTTCAGTCATTTATTTTTTATCATTCTTTCTTCAGCTCTTATTCTTTAGGTGGTGCCTTATCAATTCAATATGGAAAGTGAGTTTGCTCTGTAAATTTTCACCCAAATCACAATTTAAAAACAAAAAAGGGTGGGGTGGGGTATGAGGGCAGCATCCTCTTACTTCCTCCAACTTCAGGAGGGGGAGAGAAAATATATTTTCATTACACAGTAATTAATAATAATAATAATAATGAATCAGCTCAAGGCTGATTCCCATAAAGCTAAAGTCAGATATGCCTCCACCCTCCCACATTTTTACCAGTTCTGACCCTACCATCCCTCCCATGATACTCACTACTTCTCTGCTGGGTTTGATAATTCATTACAATGGCCACACAGAATTCACAGACAATACTCAAGATTTTGGGTTTTATTAAGGAAGTGTTGTTGTTGTTGTTGTTATGTGCTGTCGAGTTGGACCCGATTCATAGTGACCCTTCCTTGGGTTTCCGAGGCGGTATTACTATGGGAGTAGATTGCCCAACCTTCCTTCTGAGGAGTGGCTGGTGGGTTTGAACCGCCAGCCTTCTGGTTAGAAGTAACAGGTTATAATTCAGGTTCAGAATGTGCTCAGTATACAGTTCTTCATTCAGGACAGTTTCTCCTCTGCCATGCCTTCAGGCACACCTCTTGGCCTGTCCTCTGCCCTGCGTGGGCAAGTGTTAACAAAACTCCTTTAGCTCTGCTGATAGGTATACTTAGGTGCACCGCACTCCACCAGCAAGCCTCCTGCCCAAAGGCACTCGGCTTTCTCACTCTGTGAGCTGGCTAGCTCACTGTTCTATCTCATGCCTCTTGGTTCTACGGCTGCCATCTTTCTGCCAGTCTATCTGCCAAGAAGGTCTAGCACATGGATCTCAGGTCCAATGATACACTTCATTCCACTTTAAGCTCTTCCTTCTTGATGACAGTGAGATCACCCTTTCTGCCCCTAGGAGTGCTCATTTTAGCCTAGCAGAATGACAAAACTGGTTCTATACATCTCATTTCCATGGTCCCAGCCCCACAAGGGCACCATGTACCTTATTTACATTACTAACAAACTGTCCAATCCCCTTTGTGGGTCACAAGCGTCTTACATTTGCATAGCTCCACTCACTTATCTGGTGGAAGTCACAAAGACCATGGCTAGAAGAGCCATACCAAGTAATTCAGTGCACCACAGATATGCAATCAAAAGTACAGGCAACCCCTCAATTTTGAACAAGTTCCTTTCCTAAGTCTATCTTAAGTTGAATTTGTATGTAAGTCAGAACAGTTAGGTATGATCAATCTTAGTATGTAGTATATAAAGTACTTTGTTATACACAAAAAACATTAAAGAAACACTTCCAGATACACTAAAGCATCTTTAACATAATAATGCAGTAATAATAATGTTTTGATGCACATGGCAAAATAGTGCCTGTCGTTACAGACTATTTTATTTACCTTGAATTTTTAATATTATAGACTTTACTGGGGTTGGTTGGTAACAGGTAAATTTGACTGTTGCAGTCCCCCCCTCCCCCTTTCCGGATGCTACTGTGTTTCTTTAAGAATTCTGTCATATGCATGATTTATGTTCCCTCTCATTTGTAGCTTCCTTGGAGACATGTGCCTTGTTAATTTCTGTGCACCTTACAGGATTTAGCATATTGGGTGCACACTGTTCATTCATTCAACAAACAGTTGACTCCCTACTGTGTACTGGGCACTGTGCCAGGTTTTGAGGATACAGTACAGAGCCAACACAGACATTGTACTCACTGTGAAAAGGAATCATTAGTCAAATAATTACACTAAGAATGTGTAATTACAAACTGACTTAAATGCTCTGAAGGAAAGGAGTACAATTCCAAGAGAATGTATCACAAAGGAACCAGATCTAGAATGAAGATCCAGAGAAGGCTGCCCTACAGATACGATATTGGAACTGAGAGATGTATCATGACTAGGTATTGAGATGGGAGGGAGAAGAGGATTCTAAGCAGAAAGAATCACATGTGCAAAGAACCTGTGGCAGAAGGGAACATGGCAACAATCTGAAATAAAGAAGTTAGTTCAAATCTTTTTTCCTGTTCTTTTTTTTTACAGGAGACTTAATGGAGCATTTAGTTCCCCATCCTGAATTTAAGATGCTGGGTGTACGTAACATTCCTCAGATGTCTGAGAACTCACTGGCATACAGCACGTTTACTTGGGCTGGCCTCCTGAAGCATTTAAAACAGATGCTCATTTCTAATGCAAAAATGGAAGAAGGTAACAAGTATTTAAAAAATACACAGCCCACAAGTTGGGAAAAATGCTTGTCCTGGAGCTCTCAAGACAGCCTGGTTAGGCTGGTTAGAATAGTGGTCCCTTCTTCTGGCCAGGGAGGCTCCTGCAGAAACTCACCAGGGCATCCCAGGAGGCCTTCTTAATCACTTCACTGTTTCATTTCCCAAACAAAGTTTCAGATGAGTACCACTTGTTTTGGTTTTTTGTTTGTGCTTTTGGTTTTTTTTAATTTTAATTTTATATTTTAATCAAAGTAATTTATGAACAAGCATATGTGCAAAATCAAGACATCAAACCTCATACATTACACTGTATGTAAATTTTTTAAAAAAGTAATTGTATAGTATGAACTTGTAACAGGGAACACAGCAGTTCCCTGTGCTACACTTCCCTATTCCTCAGCTGAAGCTACTTGGAACATTTCTAGCTGTTTCTTCTAGAATTTGCCTTCAGATTTCTAAATATCTTGCTAATACTGTTATTTATTATTCAATTATATATATTATCCATTACCTTGCTAATGTGCACAATAAGGATTGAATCTTTTTATACCCTTTTCTATATACATGCATACCCACATGCTCATCTCCCTCCATTCTCCCAATATAGTTATAACGTATTTTTTATTAGATCAATTTTCAGGATTTATATTATTTTTTGCAAATACTATTCAGAGTTGAGCCATGTACTGTTCTTGTTGTTAGGTACCATTGGATTGATTCTGACTTGTGGTGACCCTGTGTCCAACAGAACAAGACACTGACCAGTCCTGTGCCATCCTCACAATCCTTGCTATGCTTGAGCCCATGGTTGCAGCCACTGTGTCAGTCCATCTCATTGAGGGTCTTCCCCATTTCATCTGACCCTCCGCTTTATCAAGCATGATATCCTTCTCCAGAGACTGGTCCATTCTGACAACATGGCCAAAGTAGATAAGATGAAGTCTGGCCATTCTTGCTTCTAAGGAGTATTCTAGCTATACTTCTTCCAGGACAGATTTGTTTGTTCTTCTGACAGTCCGTGATATTTTCAGTACTGCATATACTGATTATATTTTATTTCATGTATAATTAATTTTTTTCTATCTAGGGTATAAAATGTAAAGTTCTATTTTATGTACCTGTTCTCATGTACCTATGTTATCTATATGTGAAAAGGAGCTCTGGTAGCATAGTGCTCAAAGCACTTGACTGCTAACCAGAAGGCTGGAGGTTCAAACCCACCAGCCGCTCCTTGGAAGGAAGATTGAGCAATCTACTTCCATAGTGATTCTGCCTCGGAAACCCAGGGGGGGTGGCTATGAGTTGGGACTGACTTGACAGCAGTGAGTATATATGCAAAGAACTCTGGTGGCTTAGTGCCTAAGGCATTTGACTGCTAACCAGAATGTTCGTTGTTCAAAACCACTCCATGGAAGGAAGACTGGGCAATGTACTTTCGTAAAGATTTACCACTTTGGAAACCCAAAGGGGGTCACTATGAGTCTGAATTGACTCATTGGCAGTAGGTTTGGTTTTTTTATATATCTATACATGCATAGATGCATAGAAATGTCTAGATGGGTGTTTTGATTACCTAGTGCCACTCTGAAAAGAATATACCACAAATGGGATGGCTTGAACAAACAGGAGTTTATTCTCTTACAACTTTGGAGGCTTTAAGTCTGAGTTCAAAGTGCCAGGCTCTAGGGGCTGGGTGAAAGCCCCTCAACCTTGGGCTTCAGCTCTGCCTCCTGCTCCAGGCCCACTGGAGCTAGAGGCTTTTCTTCACTCAGACAGCTGCTGGCTGCTGAGATTGAGAAGCCCAAGGTTGACAAGTAAAAAGGCACAGTCCCTGTGTTACCAAACCACATGGCAGGCCATTAATTCGAGTATTGAAAGTCCCAAGGCCCGCAGAGCATGGCAGGCTGCTGAACAATGACACGGCTACATGCAGGGTTCAAGTGTGCCATAAGCTAGAGACCATTCCCAAAGCTGTTTCTTATATACAGGAAGCAGACCACATCCCTAAAGCAGCTACTCAGCTGCTTGTGGTAGGTCCCACCATGGAGTTGACTGCCATTCTCATCATGGGGAATAACTACCACCACTGCCCAGACACTCAACCCGGCCCAGCCAAGCTGACGCACAACCTTAACCAGCACAGTGCCTATTATTAATCTGGGAGCTCTGGTGGTATAATGCCTAAGGCATGTGAGTGCTAACTAGAAGGCTGGTGGTTCAAACCCACCAGCCACTCCGCAGAAGGAAGGTTGGGCAATCTATTTCTGTAGTGATACCAGCTCAGAAACTGAAGGACGGGTCGCTGTGGGTTGGAGCTGACTCCACAGCGGTGGGTTTGTGTTTTTTGTATTACTAATCTATTTCTAAACTTTGCTGTAAAAATTAATCCCTTCTCAAAATGTTCAGACCCGCCAGGTAATCTATGACTTCCATCATCCACTTAGAGAAATCTCTCCAGGCCCAATGAATAGCTTACACTGACATCTCATCTTCGCATCATCCTGTATTATGTCTTGTTTCATGGATTTTAGATCTTCTTCATTTTCGGCTTGTTTCTTCATCTTGATAGACTATATATTTCAATAGCTTCCTCAGGAAAGAAAAACTTAAGATTTTTTTTTTTAATTTTCAATATGGTAAAATTTGTCATGAAACATTTGTGATTGTAACCATTTTGCAGTGTACAATTTAGTGACATTAGCTATACTCACTGTGTAGTATAACCATCATCACTATCCATTTCCAAATGTTTTTCATTACTCTAAATAGTAACTCAGTAACCTGTCAGCAGTAACTCCTTCTTCCCCCTACTATTTGTGGTAACCATTAGTAAATTTTAATCTCAGCCCATTTGCCTATTCTAGATATTTCATAAATAGAATTATACAGTATTTGTGCTTTTGTGTCTGACTTATTTCACTTGGCATTATTTTTTCAAGGTTCATCCATATTGTAACATAATCAGAGCTTTATATGTAGCTGAATAATTCCATTGTATGGACGTTACCATGCTTTGTTTATCCATTTATCTGTCGATAGACATATAGATTGTTAACACTTTTTGGCTATTGTGTGTAATGCTGCAGCGGACATTGGTGTACATGTATCTGTTTGAGTCTCTGTTTTCAAGTCTTTCAGGAATGGAATACTTAGGAGTGGAATTGTTGGGTCATATGATAATTTTGTGTTTAACTTTTTAAGCAATCACCAGACTTTTCACCAAGCAGCAGTGAATGAGGGTTCCAGTATCTCTACATCTTCAACAACTTATTATTTTCTGGTAATGGTCATCCTTGTGAATGTCAAGTGGTATCTCATTGTGGTTTTGATTTGCATTTCTCTAATGACTCGTGAGATTGAGTATCTTTTCATATGTTTATTGGCCATTTGTATGTCTTCTTTGGGAAAATATATATTCAAGTCTTTTACTCATTTTTAAATTGTGTTGTTTGCCTGTCTGTTGTTGAGGGAAAGTAGTTTTTGAGGTTACAAATGACATTATTCTGCCCTCACATTTGCTTGATAGTGTGGTTGGGTATAGGATTCTAGATTGGGAATCATTTCTGTATTAACTTCCAGCTTCCATATTGTTGTCCCATGCCATTTTGATTCCTAATCCTGCTTTTTTCTCTCTTGAAGCTTTTAGGATTTTATCTTTATCCCTAGAATTTTTAAATTCCTTGGTGTAAGTCTTTTTAGTATCTCTGCAGAGATACTGTTATCTCAGTAGAATGCAAGCTTTATCCGAGCAGAGATTTTTACGTGTTTTGTTCACTGTTGTGTCTGGAACTACGGTTCTGACACACAGCAAATGCTCGATAATTACTTGCCAAATAAATGAATGAATCCATTACATTGGACCCTCATGTACTTTGCAGATGCATATGGGTTTTCATAGTAAGGTGGTCTATCTGGCCATTTTATTGGTGGGCCCCCAAATGGCATTCCTTCTGAATTTTCTTTCTTGATTAATTATACCCTTTCTCTGATCTTCCTTGAAGGCATAATAAGCCTGGCTTCCAGCCTTCTCAGATCTGAACTAAGGAAAACAAGGCTATTATATTTCCCTGTGAAACCAGTTGCAGTAGAGTCCATCATGACTCATTGTGACCCTGTGTGTGTCTGATTAGAACTGTACTCTGTATGATTTTCCAGAACAAACCACTTGCCATGGAGTCGATTCTGACTCATGGCAGCCCCTGCGTGTTGCAGGGTAGAACTGTGCTCCTCCATAGGGCTTTCAAGGCTGTGACCTTTCAAGTTGCTAGGCCTTTCTTCCAGAGGATCTCTGGGTGGATTCAAACCACCAGCCTTCTGGTGAATAGTCAAGTGCTTAACTAGGATATTTTTATAGGCTTTTTTCCCCACTAACTGATTTTTCTGAAGTAGATCAGGTGTTTCTTCTAAGAAGCCTCTGGGTGGACTGTTGTGTTGTTATGTGCTGTTGAGTCGGCCCCAACTCACAGCAACCCCTCCTTGGGTTTCGGAGGCAGTATCACTGTGGAAGTAGATTGCCCAACCTTCCTTCCAAGGAGTGGCTGGTGGATTTGAACTGCCAGCCTCCTGGTTAACAGTCAAGTGCCTTAGGCACTACGCTACCAGAGCTCTTCTGGGTAGACTAGAGCCTTCCAACTTTTCATTACCAGTGGAGCCCATTAACCATTTGCAGAGCCTCCACTTTTCAGTAAAGTTCTTTACAAGGCTGTGCCTGGTGACGACTGAGGCCAGAGGCTCACTGGTTTAGCCATTCCAGAGAGAAAACTTCCTTCTAGTATGGAGAAGGGGCAAGGGACACTTCCTATACTGCAGGGAGTTGGGGAAGAGATCTTGGACTCTCACTGCTTCTCATACAGATTTTAGCCAATCTTCCTATCTCCCCTCTTTTAGAAGTGCCTGGCCTGCTCCTGGCCCTCCATGGTGGGCAGAAGTTTCAGCTTTCCCTAGTCAGTAAGTCAGTAACCACTGGGTCATTTGTTTTCC